GTCAACTTGATTTCAGCAGTTTACTGAAAGCAGTTTTTGTGGTTTGCCTGTCATGTGTGGCATTTGATTAAGAATCACTTGGCATTCTTAATAATAATAATATTGCAATACATTTTTGTAATGGGTGTTGCTAAAATACGTGCATTGGCAACTCTCACTGGTACCTACTCTATTCTCATCTCCCTGAAATAAAGTGTTTTATTTATTTGCAACACCTGGAGAGCTGTGAGAAGGATATTGTAAAAGTCCATCTGGACAAGCAAGCCCTGGTAACATAAATTATAGTGCTCAAAGGCCATATGCACAAAGTAAAAGTGGAGGAGCTTTTGGGTATCTGACCATATATTTTCTGAAGTTGCCTGCCTTGAAACAATAATGTTGCCAGGTTGTTTATAAATGATATGTGGTTCAGAAATGTAGTTCTGGAAATTTTCTATTGTTGTTTCACTCAAACATTATTTTTTTTTCCCTACAGATGCTTTGAGTCTGCTTTTAACAAAGCACTGACTCTTGAATTTTTGTTGATGACTTCAGGTGGGTGGAAATTTACCTACACCATAAACATTCAGATAACATCTTGTTGGCCTCTTGATCCTTATGTTGGAAGGTCAGATCCATGCTGGTGTGCTGAAAGGCAGCTGCCTTCCACAGGTTTTGGTGCTGGAAGTGTATTCCTCTGCCTCTCTTCCTTGGCTTCTCATTCCTCAAGGTCTTCTCATTTCCTGCTTATCTGTCAGCAGAAACAACTGTGATGTTTTCTCCTCAACTCAATGATAATGCTTTTTTTCCCTGAGACTTCTGGTTTGAATTCAAATTAACTAGTTGGGTTTTATCCCCTAAGTTCACATGGTTCCATCAAACCACTTTTTTATTACATTTTTACCTGGATTTTAGGATTTTTGCTGGGATTTGAGGGTGCTCTCTGGGTAATACTGGCAAATCTTTCTTATAAAGTGTTTGTTTTTTTTTCAATCCATTTCTGCTCCTGTCTTTTCCTGTTTTCCAGCTGGCAAACTTTCTAAATCCTGGGTGAATACTGAAGGCAGGCAGGATGATTGTGTTTACGTGATTTTTCAAACATGGAACAATCTCAGAAATTACATTGTCAAGCTCCCCGCTCCTGTGTAGGAAGTTGCACTTCCATAAAGGTCTGTGAGGAGAAATCAGTAACAGAAATGGAGGGTACTTCAAAACAGTCAAAGCTTTATCAATATTTAAGTCCAAATAGCAACAGCAGTAATTATCCATGCACCCAGCACAGCAGTTGAAAGCATGGTAACCTCGGGAATTATAAACTCCAGAAGAATGAAATTGGCAAGGAAACCTACTGTCAGAAGGAAAGAAGACTCTTTGAATGCCAAAAAAAAAAAAAAAATTCCTATATGAACCCTGAGATATTCTTAAGTTTCTGCTTTTGACTACAGCTGTATCTTCCTGCTACACAGAAGAGAGGTTATTTTCTTTTTCCTCTGGAAGAAAAAAATACTTCAGAAACACCTCCCGCATGAGCTTTTTAATTTTATAATCTGCCTAAGAATATCTTGCTTCCTGCTGTAATTTTTCAGCTGATTAGAAGCTAAACCATGTGTTCTTACCAGCATCCAGGATTTGTATTAATGGAAATAGCAGCAGATCCTTCTTGTAAGGAAGGAACACAGAGGTGCAGAAATATTTTTGGGATCATTTAACTGCTTTAAGAGTCAGGTAGATAAAACAGGCAGCCAAGGCCAACCACCACAAAAGTACCACAGCCCAAAAAATGTCACATCAACACACTGAGATTCTTTAACTACACAACATCCCAAATTTCTGTGCCAGAAGTAACATTGTCTTCATGTTTCTGTCCCCCAGACGGTTTCATCTCCAGTTCTCCATTCTTGTCACTGCTCGACAGGATGTTGGGTGTAGATCTGCTGCTCTGGGTATGTTTAAATAAGAATGTGCCTACACTTCGCTTTGAGAATATTTCAGACTTCTTGAAGAAACTGTAAGTTCATTTTTCCTTTATGTGCTTTTCTCTTGCACTGTTCATTTTGCAGTTGCCCATTCTTTGGTGTACTTTGTGTCAAGGTTGTTGTGCTTCCTTCACTTCCTTCAGCACCTACATCTTAAATAATGGTGTTAGGAATCTGGAGCAGCTTGGCTTCTTACACTCCATGTTTCAGAGGTCTTTTAAACCAAATATCTGCTGAAAACTGAGTAGTGTTTTTAGGAGCTGTATTCATGAATCATTGTCTTAAACTAAGGACATTGTACATTACCTGGACAGACAGTAATTCCTCCTTTTGTTCTACTTTGTGTATCACCCAGGGACCCATCTGTGTGTCTTTTACTCAACAGCACACCCAGAATCTTGGGTCATTGCTGAACATTCAAATAGATCATCACTAAAAAAAGCAGATAAATGATTTGTGAAATGTGTCACTTGCAAGAACCTACTTTAAAGTTTGCTGAATTTAACAAAAGATTTAGATGGTAATTCTGGTTAGTTAGCCTTTTTCCTTTTACATCACCAACTGCTTGGTTAGATTTCTAAGGGCTTTAACAGAAAATAGAAGTACTTCTTTACTACCACAACGTTTGATGCCATTAAAGGGGTAAGGTTCTATGGTTCCCATGCTATGCTGACTGCATGAATTTTCACTCAGCAAATTGGCACAGATTTCTTTACATTTTTTACTTCCCCTCTCCCTGTCCCAATTGAGTGAGCTCTGCAGTCACTGCATTTGCAGGTGTATCCAGTCCAATAGAATGTGAATACTGTATTGCTGAGAGCATTCAGTGTGTAATCACATTGCCTTGGCTTGGCACTTTCAGCCATGGCAATGCTGATTTCAGTGCCAGCCAGCAGCCTAAATATTTGCTCTGCTTTTCTGAAGGGTTCTGCAGTCCAGACTGAGCTTGTTTTTTTTTTCCCTGCAGCTATACTGCTCTGAGCTACTCAGCTGAAGGCTGAGGCAGGTGAACCTAGCCAGGCTTTGGTCTCAGCAGAGATTGAAGTTGAGGCAAGACAGAGCTTCAACTTACAAAATTATGTTTGTGAATCTGCAGTTGTGTCACTTCATCACTATCAGGATGAAGTCCAAATCCAGTTCCTTCCTTAGTTCATTGTAGTCCAACTGCAGCAATCTCTAAACACTCACATTACTTAGAAAATGTTGTCAAAAAATTCTCATTGTCCTTTGGGAGCCTTTTCCACTCATTATCTAATACTGCTTTTGAAAGTTCTTTTTGGTGGTCCTAGGACAATGGTAATAAGCAAGATGACATTTGTCATCTTGATTTTTCCTTGGGTGTACTCCTGTTTGTTTCTTCACTGCAATCTCTTAAAACTCCCACCCTGCTCTGCTCCTTTCTGCAAAACCAGGGGAAGTGTCAGTGTGAGCGCCCAGCCTCGGAGCACAGCACAGAACACAAGGTGTTTGCCATCAGCAAAGCAGGAAAAGAGCAGAGATGGTCACATTTGTGAACACTTTGCCAAAAAGAGAAGGAGGAGAGGAGGAGATGTTATAAAAAATACAAATCTTCAGTCTTTTTGTTAGCTTCTGGGTATGTCTGAAGTAATCAGAAGGAAATGAAATTTCAAGTTGGCAGTTTTCCCTTTAAAATGCTCTGTGCATTAGTGCTGAATGTGAATAGCATTATCTTTATTCTTTTCTTTTTTTTTTCTTTTAAAAGAGAAATATCTATTAATAGATCTCTGTAACAACAATTGCTTACCGGTTTATGCTTATGGCTTATCACAAAACTATTCAGGAGGACTTGTGGTAAAAACTGTGAAGTTTATATAATTGCAACCAAAGGCAAAGCTTTGCTTCAGGGTCTGCTACACTATCAAACTCTGCAAGAGCTGAAAATAATGATGTAATTCCAATGACTGCTTCTAAGGGGCTGTGTGAGCTTATTTGACCCAACAAGACACTCTCTTTGGCAAGCAGAATACCTTTGATTCAGAGCTCCTTCTGATTAAAACAGAGCTCTCACTGGTCTGTATTGTAATTATCTTTTGATCTTAGTCATGTATTTTCAGTGGGATATGATAATTACATTGAAATTAAATATTTTACTTCTTTTTTTTTTTTTTTGTGTGAGTGTTATCTGCAGTTATATTTGTGCAAGTGTTTCAGTGTAATATCATGGAAAATTACCACAGTGACAGAACTGCAAACATCCCATATTATTACCTCATGCCATGGGATTTCAAGTAAACTAGAACTCTTTACAGTCTAGGAGAACTGCCAGTCCCCCTGAAATTACCATTTTAATTGAATTGATCATAAATACTTTGCTCTGGCTGTAATACTAGACTGAGCAGATTAAATCTATTTAGCCATAGTTTGGGGAAAGGGTGACTTTTCAGCCAGTTTTTTTTATAATTTAAAGGTTACTAATTTTCATGACTGGAACTTGATGCAAGGAAATATGATGTCAAATTGTAATATTAGAAATACTACTTTTGTTCAAATATTTAGAGGCAGTCAGTAAATATATATTTGTCTGTTTTTCTCACTTTTATAATTGTTATCTTATTCTGAAATTATTACGTTATTTTAAATCTACCAGTTTGGAATTTTTATTAGTAATATTGAGGAAGATACAAATGGCTGATGCACCCACACACAAACTTATTTTTAAAGGAATATGCCATGCCTTAAAATAGCAAGTGTCTTCTGGCCTCAAAAAAATTTCCAGAGCCAATTCTTTTTTTTTTTCTCTGAATTCTTTTGTCTTAAAATTGCCAGCAGCCTAAACATTATGTCAGACCTTTCTGTCCTGCTGGCAAGCCCCTCTCCTTTCCCTGTGCTCTTTTCTGCCTGTGGTCTCTGTCAGCTCCAGCACACAGGAGAGCCCAGGCTGCTCCCTTCAATCCAATTAACCCCACACCATTACAGCCATGTTTGGTGTCACACTTGAAACTTTTTATTCTTTCGTTATTTAAATGAGCAACTTGATTCCAGCATCTCCCTCATATTGGTTGTCTCAGATAATTGGTAATTAGAACAACCTGCTTTCAAATCTTTTCCCTTTTGAGGCTGACCTATTGCAGAAAGGTAAAGAACTTCTGTACTTTTTACCTGCCATTTTAATGAATTTAATCTAATAGTCTTTTGCCTGGCTGGAAAGACAGCCAAAATTGAATTGCAGAATATGATTCTAATATCTCTTTTCAGCATCCTTCTAGGTACAAACCTACTAAAAGCTTAAGCAATTGTAAATAGGGACAAAATAATGCTTTGCTACCTCAACAGCTTTCTTAGGCAGGTTGATTTTGCAGGTATGCCTGCAAACAGAAGATGCAGTGATTTGAGCTAGTTCCAGACAAGTTTTGTCGTTGCTCCTTTAAATGGCAAACTTGTACTCTGTGCCTTTTCTTTCAGGTGAAAAGAGTTGTGATGGAAAATACAGCTCTTCAAAGATTTCTAGTATTGACAGAGGTGTTTGAGAGGAATAAAGCATGCACAAATTATCTGGGTTCTTCAAATTCTAGTACTGTGCTCCCCTTTCTAAATTTCCTTTCTCCCTTTTGAAATACGATGCAAGTCAACAATTCTTCACTGGCATTGAAGCTCAGACCATAACTTGGACTGTGGGCATCATAATTGTGATTGATCTTGTGCTGCAGCCAGCTCTCTAGTCAGACTGGAATTCAGACACACAAAGAGTAAATACAACCCTCTTTACTCAACAAAAGCTAGTGCAGAGATCTGGGAAGGAGAGGAGAGTACCAGAAATGCCGATCCCAGTGCTCCTCAGATGTTTCTTCTGCCCTTCTGTATTACCAGCAAGAGGTTTCAGGACTGTGTGGTGGCATGGATGCACGTGAAGGAAATTCTCCTTCTGGGAAACAATCCTTCTGGGTGCACAGCTGTCAAAATAGATTGCCATCAAGGCTTCAAAAAGTAATTAAATATCATGTCTGAAATGAGAAGATTGGATCAGAGAGGGTTAAGTGTATCTTCCAAAAAGTTATGCAGTATCTGGAAAAAAAAAATTATTGGGTGAGTTCCCTCTGATTGCTAATTGCATACTGTATTAAGACATCATTTTCTCTCCTTTCTCATTTGTTCTATGCCTCAAGGTAAAAGATGGAACACGGGATTATGACAAATTCTCCTCTGGGATCTATGTAGTGGGGTTTATCTTTGATCTTTCTTTTCTCCTGCCCTTGGAGACCAAATGCATTTTTGCACATGGCAAATGCAGAGAACTGTGGGGCTCAGAACTACTGTGCTGATCAGAGAGAATTTCCCTGAAAGGTCTGTGCTCTGCATTATTGAAACATTAAAAAGTGTAGTGCAAGCTGTTTGGGGCTTGAATTGAATGTGGCTTTGTGTCCTGCCCTGGAAGCTGTGGTGTGGCATGGGATGAAGGGTCAGATGGCCCTGAGTTCAGATGTGACTTGTCCTGAGTCATGAGACTGTTAGATTTTTTTTTTCCCTGTTTATTTTGTATTTGCTGCCATGAACTGGTGGTTAATATGGGAGTTCCCTGTAATTTTTGTGAGCTGTGCTCTCCTGATAACAATTACACTGTATGCTAAGGGATTAAGGCTATAGTGGGCATATATTTCAAACAGATTTATATTAGAGAAGCCAATCCTGTCAATCAAGTAGTTGATAGCTAAAACTGGATGTTGAGGACCTCAGCTTACAGATCTGGGGTCTCCCTAAAGCTAAGTCTGTATCAGGCTGTGCTAGGTCAACAGCACAAAAAAGCAGCACTGAGCTGTGTGCAGTGGAGATAAAATGGAAATAGGGCATTTCTGCAGTGCCATTAATTTACTGCCACTGCTGTGTGCTGGGTGTCTTGGATGGGTGGTCATCAACAACACAGGGCTTGTTCCACCACAAAACAATCTGAACTTGTACTCATTGTTTGTCTTAAAGGCTTCTTGCACAATTGATTGAGTAAGGGTATATGTGGGAAAGACAGGACTTCATTTTCAGTTGAAAACTTGTTCTGTGGGATTTCCCTCATTTCCCTGAGCCACTGTAATTCCTTTTTTTTTTTTTTTTTTGCCTAGAGTAAAGGAAGGAAAAGACAACCTGAGGTTTTTAATAGATTTTCATTAAATGTATTACAGCTAAGCAATGAGTTCTTGTATTCACTGAAACTTGTGGTTGCTATCATGATGGAAATAAGCTCTATAGCATCATTTGTAATAGCCAGCAAATAGATGGCATTTTAAGTTTTTTCAGTTTGCTTCTGCAGAAGGTTCAGTATTGAACAGTCTTTTTTGTAGAGAAAGCAACTACTGATGCCTCTTCTGGTCGATTTCTTTTCCATTTTTCATCTTTTTCTCTCCAAAACTTACTTATTTTTTGTCCTTCTGTTGCCTTCATTTGGAGGCTTGGAGTGGTAGTGTGTTTTTCCAAGAGGAATGGCTCTTACAGTCATGAATATCACCTTTCAATACAGTTCAGATGGGCCCTCAAATGTAAACATTTTTTCTTACAGGAGAGTGGAAAAAGCAAGTTGTTTAAAATAGCCTGTATTTTTGTCTAAAAAAAAGAACCTGAGCACATGAGCTATTCTGCCTTTCCTCCCAAATCTCCAAAATCATATGTTAAAAAAACTTCTTAGGCCAAACAGGTTCATAGGGATACATTTGCTTTCCAAAGCACATGTCACTCCCTGATCCAATTATTACTGCATTTTTCAGAGGAAAAATTAATTAGCAGTTTGTCACTGTCCTTCTGACTCCTGGAGTTCCAGTAATGACTTCATTTTTATAGAACTGAGCTTATTACATGCAATAGACAAGTCTGGACAAAACAACTTAACTTGGTGCAGCTTATAAAATCTTACTGCTGTTATCAGCATCCTCACTGTGACTGCAGGGCTGACAGATTTTAGGACTTAGAACAGGATACATAATATATCTTATTATTTGGAAAAAGGTCTTACATTTTTCACCCACCTCCAGCAATTATCATACTACCTAAAAACATAATGGGCATATTTCTGGTGAAGGAGAAATTAACAATGAGAAGTCCACACTTGAAGGACATGTAGTATTAAAATTTAATTTTCAAATCTGACAGCTTAGTTCTGCAGGGCGTTCAGTTCTTCATATATTAAGAGAAGTACCACAAGATTTTTTTTTCCCTCTGTGGTTACACAATTTCAGTTCTTCATATATTAAGAGAAGTACCACAAGATTTTTTTTTTCCCTCTGTGGTTACACAATAACCTCATGTATGGGTTTAGCAGTGCTTTCTCTAGCTAAATAATTGAGATTTCTTTTCTTTTAGAGTATGTGTATCTGATATTTTCAAAAATATGTAAAAAACCATGCTATTTTCCCAGTACTTTTATTTTCCAGTCCTTTTCTTTCCTCTGCAGCAAAGCTAAAAGTTCCACATCTGCAGACTTCTGCCCTCATCCAACCCTCTTCACCTTTGAAGAGGTTCACACCTCTTCAAAATATTGTTTCTCAGGACATGAAGACTTTTGGACAGCCCATGACATGAGAGCCATCAGTAGCTGCTTGTCTTACCCTGCATATTGCAACAGTGTGGACACAGTGCAGACAGATTTCATCTGAGCTGCAGCATGAGCAAACCTCTGAGCAGGACAAATTAAGGGCAGAAGACCAACAAATCTCAAGCAATAATCAAATTTTCTTCTCCTCCCATCACTGGTAGTTCCCTGTTCAAATTCCTCCCACCACAGCTTTCTAATATCCTCAAACACCTTTGGGAATTGAATGGCTTTGATGTTCAGATGGGAACGGAATCCTTTGTAGAAACGATACACAGAGAATAATTTATACAAGACGTTTTATTTCCTGGTTTTGTGACTTTGACCTTGTTTTTCTGGGTATTCAGTCATAGTTAAGAGTTTTCTCTTTCCAGACTGTCAATGGTTATTTGCAAAGTGTTGAAGTTTGGTAAATTGTGTGTAAATATTTACAAAAGGAAAGACAAAAGTGTGACAGCATGAGAAAGATTTTGCCACAAAGGTAAGAACTGTTTCTCACACATCTGTTTGCAACTTCTAGTAGAAAGTATCACTTGAAAATCAAGGAATTCCTCAGAAAACCTTGGGGGAAATTACTCTGATTAGTCATCTTAATATCAGATATAGACTGCTTTGGTCATTTTATACCAGAGATGCAAGTCCCATTGTACTGCCTATTAAAAATCCACATTTGCCAAGGTTTCTAATTCAACTTCTGAATGGGTGTTGTGCTTAAAAAGGCCTTTTCCCAAAGAATATTCACTTGGACTTCTCTGAGGAGTCTATGTTCTGCTTTTGGCCGTGCTGAGCCCTGACCCTGATCCACTGATCCACTGTCCAGGAACTGGACATTTACTTTAAAGAATTCTCTTTAGTCTTTGGTAGCATAAGGTATGTGCTGCATAAAACTATTGCAAAATGTTTGTAGCCCCACAAAACATCCAGACACATTCAGTGCATGCAAATAAATGTAAAACAGAGCAAGAAAATAAAAATAATAACCACTTTAACTTTGGTTAAATGTTTAGGGTCTAGATACAGTATCTTGTTAAGTGCTTATATGAAATAGTATTTTTATTGCTCCATGCAATAATCCAGGACAGCAATATGTAAGTTTTGTCAGTTGCTGAGTGAAAAACAGAAATTCACCATAGAAGAATGAAGACAACTATACATTATTCCTTCTTTCATTTTATTAATTGCATTCATCAACATAAGTTACCTGCCTGATGTATTATCTTGCCTGATGCAATTAGCAGCATGAATTTAGAATAGTAAATAGATCTGTGGGTTACAAATTGGTTCAATATGGGTATACCTAAGAAAACCCACATTGTTATGCCTCATTTAATGCAGTATGTTTTGTACTTTCTGTTCAACATGAATGCAGAGCTCACTTACCTGGCACACAGCATTTCATTTTCATGTCACTTTGGCAGAACATGGATGTGTTTCAACTAAAGCAGGACAACAGATGGTTGTGGAGGTGTGGGATTGCAGTTTTCTCCATGGTAATACTTTGGACTTTTACTGCCCTTGTACTTTCTCAGTGCTAAATATAGTGGCACCCACATGTAATTTAGTCACT